TTAATAAAATGAATAAAAATAATATAAAAAGTTGTTGAACATTTATTTTGAAAGTATGCAAGTAAAACATGTCCTTTAAGACATACCTGATATGAAAAAGGTAGTTCAAGATACTCTGATTTCAGATGATTCAACATTAAATATTCCTTTGACATTTTAAAAACTCTTGGTACAAGTGTAAAAATTTAATTATATTATTTAGAGCACTAAACTCTAAATAAATAAATTATATTTATTTAATATAGAGTGTAAAATAAATATAGTGAATAATTCACAAAATTTTATTGTAACATGTTTAATAATATTAATGCTGCATGTTTAACATGTTACAATAACCCTTTTTGTGAGAGAGTTTTTGTAGACGTTTATAACTTATAGTATAAGTTATGAACGTCTACAAAAACTCTCCTTCAAGAATATACTATAAGTTATAAAATAACAAAGCAAATATAATATATAAATATTTATAATTCTATGCAGTACATAATATATATATATATATATATATATATATATATATATATATATATATATATATATATATATATATATATATATATATATATATATATATATATATATATATATATATATATAATATAGTAATAAATGTAATATATTAAATAAACTATTACAATTATAATAATTTTAATAAAATATAATAACTATTGCAATAGTATATATACTATATTTAGTATATATTGCTATATATAGCAAAAAATATATTTTAATCTTATTAATGAGTAAATAATGCTGCAAATACTTGATAAAAATAGTTTAATACTTTGAAAGAATAATCAAAAATATAACTAAAAGTATAACCAAAAAATTATATATCTTCAAAAGATTTAAAAAGGATTCTTTTTAAGAATCCACAAATGTCACTAGGTTGCTTATAGAAAAATAGCAAGTTAATAAATATACTTTTTGCACTAATCGGAATTTCAAAAAATATCACGTGACTACAAGAAATGAAAAAATGCGAACTAAGCGTAACAAGGCAAGAAATCCAGCATTTCATAGAAATACCTAGGGTGCTTGGGGAAACCCAAAACCAATGTGCGCTACGTCTGATTACTATAAAAATTGTACCAATATTAGACAAATAAATGATCTACAATACCTTAAAGTTTCATAAAGTACCTGCCATAATTTACAGAGCTGTGATTCTTAGAAAAAATGTGTTAATTTACGATGTAAAAATATATATGTTTTTTTTTTTGTAAAGTATTCTAAAAATGTATCAAAATTTAGAAAAACCTTTTTTCTAATTAACTGCAAAATTTAAAAAAAATTGGTTGATAATTAGCGGTACAGTGTCGCTTGCCCTAATACGTGTCTTGGCCAAATTACAAAAGTCGGGTCACAGATTTTAGCTCGCGTTTTTACGGCAAATTACGAACTTACGCACGTACCTACATACTTCTAAAATATTACATCCCCCTAAGCAATTCATATAATACTTCAATCGATTAGTGTTTCGAATCTTGAATATCACATCCCCTCGGTTTATTTACTGTATATATCACAAAAAGAAACTGGAATTCTTACTTAAAATATCACATCCCCCCTATGCAGGCTTCTAAAATATTACATCCCCCTAAGCAATTTACAAAGTATTGTAAACGATTAGTATTTGGTATCGAGAATATCACATCCTCTCGGTTTATTTACTGTATATGTCACAAAAAGAAACTGGAATTCTTACTTAAAATATCACATCTCCCCTATCCATACTTCTAAAATATTACATCCCCCTAAGTAAGTCATATAATACTTTAACCGATTAGTATTTCGTATTTAGAATATCACATCCCCTCGGTTTATTCACTGTATATATCACAAAAAGAAACTGGAATTCTTACTTAAAATATCACATCCCCCCTATGCAGGCTTCTAAAATATTACATCCCCCTAAGCAATTTACAAAGTATTATAAACGATTAGTATTTGGTATGTAGAATATCACATCCTCTCGGTTTATTTACTGTATATGTCACAAAAAGAAACTGGAATTCTTACTTAAAATATCACATCTCCCCTATGCATACTTCTAAAATATTACATCCCCCTAAGTAAGTCATATAATACTTTAACCGATTAGTATTTCGTATTTAGAATATCACATCCCCTTCGTTTATTCACTGTATATGTCACAAAAAGAAACTGAAAATCTTACTACAAATATCATATCCCCCATATGTATACTTCTAAAATATTACATCCCTCTAAGCAATTTATAAAGTATTTTAAAGGATTAGTATTTGGTATCTAGAATATCACATTCTCTAGGTTTATTCACTGTATATGTCACAAAAAGAAACTGGAATTCTTACTTAAAATATCACATCCGTCATATGCATACTTTAGGTATGTGTGTAAAAATTTTAAATTGTTTAAATATCAGATTGTTATATATCGTTGGAAAGAATTTTGAAAAAATATTCCAAAACTGAAAATTTTATCAAAATCGGATGGTTCTATAAAAAGATATGAGCATTATAGTGACGAAATTTGGTTACAAGGATTCCTTAACAAAAATGTGACCAATTTATAATGGTTTTTTAACTTAAACCGCCTCAAAATTGTCAATGCTTATCTAAATGCATATAACTTGGTATCAAAAGATAGGTGTAACATTGGGCTACAAACTTCATTTACTTTTGAACACCTGTTCGTATTCAGGGGGCTAGAGGGGGACAGAAAAAACATATTTGCTATCAAAAAATTCACATTTCTTCCATAAAAGGTTTTTTTTTAATATAAAACTAGTAATTATCATTAAAAAAGTAGTTATTTTTTTATTGGCAAGCAAGTATTAGTATTTGTATTTTATGAAGAAGGTGGATGTGGTGGTAATGGTACACACCCTAGTACCGAAAGATTTATTCTTATAAATATTTTTATCATTAATAAAATGAATAAAAATAATATAAAAAGTTGTTGAACATTTATTTTGAAAGTATGCAAGTAAAACATGTCCTTTAAGACATACCTGATATGAAAAAGGTAGTTCAAGATACTCTGATTTCAGATGATTCAACATTAAATATTCCTTTGACATTTTAAAAACTCTTGGTACAAGTGTAAAAATTTAATTATATTATTTAGAGCACTAAACTCTAAATAAATAAATTATATTTATTTAATATAGAGTGTAAAATAAATATAGTGAATAATTCACAAAATTTTATTGTAACATGTTTAATAATATTAATGCTGCATGTTTAACATGTTACAATAACCCTTTTTGTGAGAGAGTTTTTGTAGACGTTTATAACTTATAGTATAAGTTATGAACGTCTACAAAAACTCTCCTTCAAGAATATACTATAAGTTATAAAATAACAAAGCAAATATAATATATAAATATTTATAATTCTATGCAGTACATAATATATATATATATATATATATATATATATATATATATATATATATATATATATATATATATATATATATATATATATATATAATATAGTAATAAATGTAATATATTAAATAAACTATTACAATTATAATAATTTTAATAAAATATAATAACTATTGCAATAGTATATATACTATATTTAGTATATATTGCTATATATAGCAAAAAATATATTTTAATCTTATTAATGAGTAAATAATGCTGCAAATACTTGATAAAAATAGTTTAATACTTTGAAAGAATAATCAAAAATATAACTAAAAGTATAACCAAAAAATTATATATCTTCAAAAGATTTAAAAAGGATTCTTTTTAAGAATCCACAAATGTCACTAGGTTGCTTATAGAAAAATAGCAAGTTAATAAATATACTTTTTGCACTAATCGGAATTTCAAAAAATATCACGTGACTACAAGAAATGAAAAAATGCGAACTAAGCGTAACAAGGCAAGAAATCCAGCATTTCATAGAAATACCTAGGGTGCTTGGGGAAACCCAAAACCAATGTGCGCTACGTCTGATTACTATAAAAATTGTACCAATATTAGACAAATAAATGATCTACAATACCTTAAAGTTTCATAAAGTACCTGCCATAATTTACAGAGCTGTGATTCTTAGAAAAAATGTGTTAATTTACGATGTAAAAATATATATGTTTTTTTTTTTGTAAAGTATTCTAAAAATGTATCAAAATTTAGAAAAACCTTTTTTCTAATTAACTGCAAAATTTAAAAAAAATTGGTTGATAATTAGCGGTACAGTGTCGCTTGCCCTAATACGTGTCTTGGCCAAATTACAAAAGTCGGGTCACAGATTTTAGCTCGCGTTTTTACGGCAAATTACGAACTTACGCACGTACCTACATACTTCTAAAATATTACATCCCCCTAAGCAATTCATATAATACTTCAATCGATTAGTGTTTCGAATCTTGAATATCACATCCCCTCGGTTTATTTACTGTATATATCACAAAAAGAAACTGGAATTCTTACTTAAAATATCACATCCCCCCTATGCAGGCTTCTAAAATATTGCAAACGATTGGTATTTTTATTACCTAAAGTTTTATATCCCTTATGTGTAACATTTTTTTTAGTATTGCCACGCAATACATTACGATCAAAATTTTATAAATATGAATTTAAAATATATTACCGTTTTATGCTAACTTCATTTATAGTATGTTAGTAGAAAAAAGTTTTTGTGAATCTCGTTGCGTTTTTGTTATATTGTTTATAACTAATGTTTCGGACGTACTTGATACACTTCTAAGTGCAATGATTCGAAAGCGCATTCTCGTTTTAATTTTTCCTATGGGGGATGTGATATTTTAGGCGGATGTAATATTTTATTACAAAATACATTACATATATAACAAAGATAGAAGATCTTGAGACCAAGGAAAAATGTTTAGAATTATTACAATTTTAACGCTGTTTTATATTTTTATATAAAACAAATCAAGAGAATCATACCAGTCTACAAATCAAGAGAATCATACCAGTCTACATATAAGTGCTCATCGGGCGTATCGGACCCTGGGCCATCCTATTTATCTACCCGAGGCTTCTAAACTTCTCTCTGCACCCCCGGTGCTCATGATTTTTTTAATACACATCTATTTTGTAATATAATTATATAACAAATGATAACAAAAAATAACTAACCTTCCTTATTATAAAGATTGAATTTAATAGCTAGACTGGTAAAATTTATATTTTGATTGGAAGGTAAATTTTCAAGATAAAGTTAACATTTTTTTTTTCCCATCTGTAACCGAATCTTGAACCAAGATTATCTTTTTTAATCATTAAACCCTATATATTGAAAGATAAATGCATAAATAAACCCATGTCTGAATATTAGTACTATATATATTTTTTATTTGCATTCACTTCCAACAAGCAACCACTATTAAGTTGGGAGTTACTAAGAAAAAAAAGAACAGAGTTATAGAGCAAGGAAACGGTTGACAGAAGACTTGAAAAGTTGAAGGTTGTATTAGTCAGGAAAACATGAAGATGGGAGAAAGTTCCAAAGAATTGAAGTGCGGGGAAAAAAACTAGATGAATAAAAGTTTTTAGAGCACGCAGGGACAGATACAGTAAACGAATGAGACTCAGCTGAAAGACGAGTAAAACGAGAATGAATTTTAGTTGATGAAACTAGAGATGATAACTCCTTTGAGCAGTGACCATGATAGTATTTGTAGAAAAAAGAAAGAGATGCAACTTTACGACGATGGGAAAGAGGTTCAAGCTTAGTAGATAGTCCAGGTCCAACAACATTTACAATGCGTTTTTAAACCTTGTCAAGAAGAGAAAGTGAATCGTTAGAAGAACCAGCCCAAATATGACAACAGTATTCCATACAGGGACGAATAAGAGATTTGTAGAGGTAGAGAATGGAATCAGAAGTAAGAAAATGGCGAGCACGATAAAGAGAAGCAACCTTAGCAGAAGCTAATTTAGCAATCGATTGTATATATGGTTTCCATGAAAGGTCAGTAGTAAGCGATAATCCAAGAAGACGTAAAGAGGAGGACTCAGTAAGAGGATTGCCATTCATTAATATAGGAATGTTGACCATATTACGGTAGTTGTTTTCAGTAAACAACTGGGTTTTGTTAGAGTTGAAATTCACAAGCCACTGTGAACCCCAATCTATTACTGAAGTGAAATCGGATTCAAGATCAGCTGCTTGTTCTTGGCGATCGAAAAGAGAAGACTTTTTGTCAAGACAGGAGTAGAAAGTTGAGTCATCAGCAAAAAGAGCTACTTTAGATGAAAGGTTGTCAGGAAGATTGTTTATGTAGATAAGAAACAAAACAGGGCCCAGGATGGAACCTTGGGGAACCCCAGAAGTTACTGGAAATAAAGAAGAGTGTTGGCCTTCAAGGATGACTTTAATAAACCGGTTAGAAAGAAATGATTTGATAATCTCAAAAACTTTCCCAGAAACACCATATGAAGCAAGCTTATGGAGAAGACCAGCATGCCAAACTTTGTCGAAAGCTTTAGATATGTCGAGAGCAATAGCCCTAGCCTCACCGCCTCCATCTAATGCACAATAAAATCTTTCAGTTACAGCAGTTAGCAAGTCGGCCATAGAGCGAGAGGATCGAAAACCGTATTGATTGTCTGACAGTAGTTTATTTGAGTCAAGATGAGATGTGAGGAATTTGTTGATCAAAGACTCAAAGACCTTGCTAATAACAGAAAGAAGACTGATCGGACAATAATTGGAGGGGTCAGAATTTTCTCCAGAGTTTTTGAATATTGGAAACACAGATGCCATTTTTCAGCAAGCAGGAAAACAAGACTCAGTCAAACACTTGTTAAATAGTTTAGAGAGAATTGAAGAAAGTTCTGGAGAACAATTCTGCAAGACTGTGACAGGAATTTTGTCTGGACCACAAGCTGTAGACGAGTTTAATTGAGATATGACTTTAGTAACAGAAGCCGGAGTGATTTGAATGTCTAACAAGGGGTCAACCTGTTTGACTGGAATGGAAGGAAGAGAATGTCCATAAGATTCAAGAGTGGAATTAGAAGAAAAGTTCTGCAAATAGTTCTGCCTTATCCTTGGGAGAAGTAATAAGATCAGCCCCATGAATGAGAGATGGAATGTTAGATCTACCCTCGTTAATAATGCTGTTGAAGATTTTCCAAAAGTCTTTAGAGCCTAACTTCTGCGATAAGATGCGAGATTTAGTGAACTGAGAATAATGGAGTTTAGCATCAGAAAGCACCTTTTTACATCGATTTCTTGCAATAATAAATAGCCGTTTGTTTTCAAGAGAGTTGTTCTTTTGAAAAAGATTAAAAAAATGATAACGATTTGATATAGCAGCCGCACAAGAAGGAGAAAACCATGGAGTAGAATGAGGCTTGACTTAAAATTGACGAGAAAGAATAAAAGCTTACATTCCAGCCTGAATCCAGGAGGTTACGTAGGAGGCGCATTTGTCAGCTGAGAGAGAAAAAGAATCAGCCCAAGGACCATCACGAAGAAAATCACGAAAGGAATCCCAGTCAGCTTTAGGGTAGTAGTAGGTGGTGCGATGATAAGGTGAGCCCAAAAAAGAAGTACGAGAAGAAAGATTTATAGAGATCATTGCTTGGTCAGAACCACCTAAAGGAGAAAAGGGAGAAACTGAACATAAGCTAGGGTCAGACACAAGACATAAGTCAAGAAGTGAAGGTAAATGATTAGAGTTGTCAGGAAAACGAGTCACAAAGTTACCTATTTGAGTAAGAGATTGAGAAACGCAGAAGTTAAAGGCTTTAGTGCCAGCAGGATCAGTGGTGTTAGAGCCAAGCCATTCAGTGTGATGGGCATTAAAATTACCAACAACAACAATATTGGCAGAGGGTTTAAGAGAGAGCGCATGGTCAATTTGATCAGAGATAACATCTAAGAGAGTGCAATCATGGGAAGAAGGAGAACGATAAAGAACAAAGAGAAAGGTGAAAGAGTGAAGAGGTGCTAGGCGAAAGCACATAAAAGAATGGTCAAAGGAATCGAACTTGATTTCACGACAAATAGGGGAATTATTGCGTATGTATACCCCTAAACCTAGCATGTGGCTATTTGAGTCTTTACGAATCAAAGGATAGTACCCATCAACACTGACATCTGAAGAAGGAATTGCAGAATTTAAATTTGTTTCACTGAGTGCAAGCAAGTCTGGTGAATTTTGCAGGAGGTAAGACTCAACTGATGGAAAGTTGCTTCGTAGACCACGAATATTTGTAAAAGATATATTAAAATATTTAGGTGGTGGGGATGGTTTTTTAGGTTTTAAATTTTTGGTTACTTTAGTCATGTTTTGGGATTAATGAGAACTTGACTCATTCATAGATAGAGCACAGCCTCCTAATCAATGAGCTATGCAGTTGTCTCAGTCCTGTTAATTAACCCTAAGCCATGACATAGGGCTCCTTATGTGGCCTTGACAATGCACACCAAAAGCATTAACAGGGACACCATCCATGCGCAACATGGCACTGTTAATACTCTGATATTTTGCAGCTGTTGATGGAATCAGCCTCTCTGAGAGCTAACACAGAGTTCGGGAAACTTTTCTACCAGCCGGCCTTGGAACCATTAACTGAGTTTTAGAGCTGTACCCTCATATGGAGATAACAGGAAGAGTTGCATAGCCATTATCAAGGAGGCATAAGCAAAATTCTATGAGTAGACTCAAGGAGATCCAGCATTCATCATCCTAGGCAGGAAACAATGTAACACAGGTTACATCTACGCCAGCCTAATAGATGAAGAAGGGGTTCGAGGCTGGTTAGCAGAATTTTTCTGCTTACCCCTAAAGTCTTTGCCTAGGAGGCCTTCTACAAGACAGTAGCAGGATGCAGTTAACATCTGCCCAAGATGAGTATTTTTATTGAGACACCATCTCTAGCCTTTACTCAACCAAGAGTCCCAAGGCAGGGGATGTTTAGCTGGATGCAGTTAACATCTGCCCAAGATGTGCTTTTACTCAACCAAGAGCCCCGAGGCAGGGGAATATTTAGTCGGAGTTTATTTCTCCTAGCCTTTGCCTAAGAAGAGCACACTCTGCAAGGCAGCAGGGCTTGTGGCAGGTGGTACTGGGTTACGTGATACCAGTAGCAAGATTGATCTCGATTATCCTGACCTGACCTGGAGTAGTTAAAAGGAGTTACTACCCGCAACAGTACTTTGAGAAAACCAAGCATGATATTTTGGAAGTGTATTAGGAAAAACACTGCATCTAACAAAATACAGGAGTCTAAGGTGAGTGTAGATTTTGTAGTTGGAGTAAGTAGTTAGTTACTGAGCTCACGCTGCATTAGAGTATAAACAGAACACAAACAAACATAAATCAACTAACGGGTGAGTCAACACCGCGCCAGAGGTTCAGACAGAACACAAACATACATAAAAAACATAAAGTAACTTACGGGGGAGCGAATACCGCGCCAGAGGTTCAGACAGAACACAAACATACATATAACGTAGATTACAGGTGAGCTAATACAGTAACTAAGGCACCTCCAACTATATGAAAAAAAATAAAAAATAAAAAAAAAAATTACTATAGGCTGATATAAGATAGTACTGATGACAGAAAGAACACTCCTTCCAGCCTTTGCTTAGAAAGCAAATCCTGCAAGGCAGCAGAACATGGAACAGATTGCACTGGGTTACATGTTACCAGTAGCAGGATGATCGTGAAGACCATACTCCTGACCTGACACTATTGTCTTAATATATTGGTCTTACATGTGTAATGAATGTGTTTTTTTGCATTCAAGTTACCTTCTCGATATATTGCCTATTAATACTTGTACGAAGTATTGCATTTGATTTTGACTCAAAACCTCCGAGTAATCTTAATTTACTACGCTTCCTTAATGACACAGGTACAGCAAACGATCTAAAATTTTTAAATCAAGATGATAGTCAGTAAATACACTCAAAAGCTTACAATAATATATATTTATACATATTTTTTCAAATTATATCTAATATTTTATTAAATCTAACCTTTCTACGCTTGTCTCTAGAAGTTGTTTTTCAATGTCTTTTTTTACAGATAATACCAACTTTTGTTTTGAGATATTTACAAATAAACTGTTTCCTTTTTGTACTTTAGCATTGTTCGAAAAAGTTTTGCTTTTGTTTATTAAATACTGTTGATCATTCTTGTTTATTATTTTATTTCTAAAACCGATGGTCTTTTTTAATAATCCACCTTTTTTTGCTTTGAATTTTTGTATCAATCCTTTAATAGGGTACAAACCCAAAGATTTTTTCAATATCAAATCATTTCTGCATTCTAAACAATTTACAAATGAATGGTTTTCTTTAATTTCCTGACTAAGATTCAACCATTTCTTTTTGGAAAATGTCTTCATTACATTATTCTTAACTAATTTATTTTTCCCAAGTATTTTCATATGAAGAATAATTTTAGGAAAATTTTTAGAGAATTGAATATAATCTATATTGAACTGTTTGAGGTTAAAAAATGTATTATATTCATCATACTGTTGTCGTCTAATTTTATGTTTATATAAGATTATATTTTCATTCAATCTTTTTTTCTCTGCTCTCTTTTTTTTTTAAATTAGAAAAACTATTGACTTTGCAAAGCCACGAGTAAATGGATCTAATATTGACATAATAATATATTATATGTCAATATTAATATATATTTTTATCTCTAAATGTAGAAAAAATATATTAAAATTATATATTGTTGTTATCATTTCTATAGTGCCATTAAAAATTATAAATAATATTAATTTCAAAATAATATTTTATTAATATATATATATATATATATATATATATATATATATATATATATATATATATATATATATATATATATATATATATATATATATATATATATATATATATATATATATTATAAATAAATAATTCTCTATGGAATAGCAAAGTGTTTACCCAAGAACAATTAGTTTTAATAACTCATATAAAACTTTTATAATCTTTATTCTATAAAAAAACATGGTCGTCCGAAAAAAACATCATTAAGATAAATAAAAAAGAAAATCGAAAACAAAATATTAATTTCGAGTAAAAATATTTTAGTTTGCAGACTTGACTCAAACAGTTTTATGAAAAGTTCCTTACTAAGATTTCTTTTCGCTAAATCGATTTATAATAAAATTAGTTGCTTTTTTAATTAAATTGTAGAATTATAATTATACTTTCGATTTGCAATGAGTGTAATCTATTATTTTTTCAAATTAAGTATTTAAAGTTGATTTATAACCGAATTATTCATATAAAAAAACAGAAAACAATCAGAAAAGCCAAAATATTTTTATAAAACTAATTTTTTGACATGCCACTCGTTTCTAATGATTAATATACGTTACAAACAAGAATATTGGAAAGTATGAAAAGGTAAAACTTTTCCTCGCTGAGCGAAGTAAACAAATACGAACGTTTTTAATAACATCTCATGCAACCTCAAATATTCAAAGGTTGTAACTTAACTTAAATTTTTATCAGCGCAATATAATTTAAGGGGAGCTATTTTATTTGAATTCGTTGAAAAATTTAAATTATTACGTTTGGAACCTGCAAATATAAAGGTTTTTCTTGCTGACTTTTTATTGGTCTTAAAAATTGCGTATTTTACAGAACTATCCTTAAGTACATCGAGCAGTTAAGGCACTTTTAAAATATTATAGCGTCTGTATGATATTTTGTTAATTATGACATATTTCCGTGAAATGGTCTGGTCTGTGAATTATGAAAAGACGAAAAAAACTAAAATAATAAATTTTGCGGTATCATAAAATATAAATGTTTGTAGCAAAAAAACCCAGACAGTGGAATCTTTTTTTTTTTTTTAAATTATCTTAAAATTACAATCGCTCGTCCAAATTTAAATAAGATTTTATATTAATACGTTTTTTAGGTGAAATGAACATAGTTTAACAATATGATCTGTTCTGATCGTTTATTGGCAATTATTTATAATTATAAGCTCTTTCTTGGTCGGAATTCCAGTATTTTTTGTGAAAATTGATAGAAATATTATGTTTTGACAACTATATATAGTTAATATACGTCAGAACCTATTAGAACTAGGATCAGTATTAAATTAAGTAACTTTTTAAAAAGATTTTAACTAAATTCATGTTAATGTCGATGAGCGAAATTGATCTAAAGACTCCAAAATAGTGTTCTTTAGATACATTATTACGGGTTGTAAAAAGATTTTAAAAATTATATATAAAAAAGAAAAGTTTCTTCAAATATTATAAAAACCTTAAGCAAAAAAAATTATAACATTTAAAGGTCTTATTTGGGCATAATATGCTGACAAAACTATGCTAATTCCAAATAAAAGTATTCAAATATTTTGTAAATCGCCTTAACTACACCGAGTAGTCAGCAAACTTTAAAATATATAGCACCTCCTTTTGGTACATGCTAAAGATCGCTAACCAAAAAAAACAAATATAGCTAAATTGCCGTTTGGCCGATTATTTTTTGCGGTGGCCAGATTCACGGATTTGGCCACCAATATGGCAAAGTGGCCAATCTGGCAACCCTGATTCACGGTTGAAGCTTGTTAAAAAACAAAACCAAAAGCCAAAACCTTTTCAGAAATTTTCTATAAACATCATTTTTTCAAACGCAAAAAATTGCAAGCTGGGCAAACCAGGGCGAAAATTTTCCTGATTGTTCAAAGTTTTATTTTCAAACAATTTAAAAGAAAAAAGTGTTAAACATCCGGTAAATTGTGTCTTTTTTATGAAATTTTATATTTTAAATTATTTTATATTGATCCTCCATATTTTATAAGAATATTTATAAAAATTGGTATACCTGTGACATTAGTAGAAATGAGAATGTATAGAAGTTTACAGACAGATTTTTGCCCAAAAAATTGTAATTTTGTGTCAATTTTTGAACTTTAAATCCTCCTTAGACAATCATTTTTAAATAACAGACCTTAAAAATTTAAATCTGGTTTTACATACTATATATAATTCAATTTTTAAATTGTTTTTATTATAAAACAAACTATGTTTTTGTTTTTATGACATGGTACTGGACCACTGTGCAGTGGGATAAAAGTTTAAGTTCTTTATTCGCTGTGGCAAAAAGTTCGCTAATATCACTCTTAGAGATGAATAAATTAGTATCATCAGCAAACATGATGCTCATCAAATTAGTTGCTTTATTTAGATTGTTTATATAAATTAAAAAAGGAGGGGTTCGAGGATTGAACCTTGTGGAACTCCACAGGTTATACTTAAACAATTGTTGTGATAGTTGTCATTGCCAACAACAAGTTGTTTTCTGTTTGTTAAGTAACTTCTGAACCGCCTTAACGCAAACTTTTAACACCTGCCGCTCACTTTCTAGAAAAATAGGTCATCAAACTTAAATATCTGCCGACTGAGATTAAAATTTTTCCGAACCAAATGCCAACTAACCGACTTTGTTCCTAAAATACCGACTTTAACTTGAAAATCGACTTTTTTGGGGATGTCACACAAATCCGATTTTTCAGCTCTCTGTAGAATTGACTCTGTGTTAATCATTTTTTTTCACGATTACAAAATTTGTTTGTTTGTTTTTGTCAAAACAAAAACTTGACTGGGCTTGTTTTAGAAAAGAGCTATTTAATTTGTATTCAAAAGTATTTATAACTTGTATTTTGCAAGTATAACAATTTTATTAATTACAATTTTTAAACTAATAATAAATGTGTCTTTTTTAAAAAATAAGAACTATGTTTATTTTTTTAAACATCAAGGTTATTCATTACTTTAATAACAAATAAAAATACTTTGAACGAATTTCAAATGCGACAAAGAAAATATTGGTTAATATTAATTAAAGTTAATATTAATTGCCGGATAATAGAGCTGTTTACTATAATAATAATAATAATAATAATAATAATAATAATAATGATAATAATAATAATAATAATAATAATAATAACAATAATAATAATAATAAAAATAATAAAAATAATAATAATAATAAGCAAAATTACCCAAAAGAAAATTTTTTATCAATGCAATTATACAACTGTCTGGCATTATCTGAAATTTTACTTAAGATTTTCCATTTAAAAGAAATTGTAATTGCAAGCTAAAGTTGATCAATATCTGGAAGGAGTTGAATTTTCAACTTTCATAAAAATACCCTATTTATATTTATTTCATGAAACTACCCTAATTGAATTTCTACTTTCATGAAGCTACCTTAATTGAATTTTCATCTTTCAAGAAGCTATCTTAATTGAATTTTTAACAATTATGGAACTACCTTAATTATATAGGCAACAAGAAGGATTTAGCACTCTAGACAAAAAATTATGGGTCTTTGACTTAATAGTTGTGTCTAATTTCTAATTGTCTTACGCAAAAAATTATTTGGTCAAGTTTAGGCATTAGTGCGACTTTCTGTAAGAACCAGACAAAAATACAAATTTTTAAAAGTCCTCCTCTAAAAGTAATAACTTTTTAATATGCTGTTACTATTTATGCTAAAAGCTTTAGTCTGATTTTTTTTTTTTTTAAGTTAATTAAAGTGCCCCAAGAAGTCCTTACGGTTTTATCACAGAGCACCGCGGAAGAGCACTTAATAGGAAGTTCACGCCTCTTTCCCAACAGATGTCGCAAAACTTGCCCAAAGGTGGGGTTTGAACCACGGATCTTATGTTTCTGAGGCAAGTGCGCTACCACTACGCCACGGCTGCTATGTAACCAACGGCTGCTATATAACCACGGCTACTATATAGCCAACAAATATTTTTAAATTTTTTAAAATATTTGTTGGTTCTCTAGATATTGGACTTAAGATGAGACAAATTTTTTAGGAATATCGAAATAATTTTTAAACTTCACTATAGAAAAAACTATATACTTTATAGTTAAAACTAAAAAGCTAAAAATATTAAATTAAATAAAGTAAACAATTTGGTCTGTTTAAATATCACGCTTCAAAGGTACACAAAAATTGATTTTTTGTCATTTTGATCTTCATTTTCATCTAAAGCCGCAAGTATCCAACAGTTTTTTTTTATCATAAATCTTTATCTAGTGTAGTACCAAAAATACAAACATGCTTATGAAAAATTAAGGAGCTGGGTTCAATATCTTACCCAAAAACGGAGTGATAGTCGATTAGAACAAATTTTGTGACCTCATAATTGCTAAAGCCCTGGGTTTACAGTAATAGTTTGTTTTCAAAAATAAATGTTGGTTTTTCTTCTACCATATTTATAAGAAATACCGATCGACTATTAGAAAAAAATAACATAGATTTAATTTTTTTATATGAGCAGCTATCTGTAAGAATCAAACAGAGCTTATTAATGAACCTTTTTAAAACTGTTAATTTTTTTAATATGCTGTCACTATTCATACAAGAAGATCAATGCTGAAATATTTATTAAAAAATACTTATTTGTTCTCTAGATACTGTACTTAAAAGTTTGACAAATATTTTGAAATTATTGACCAAATAGATTCAAACTCATTTTTAAACTTGAAATCAAGAACAGTACTCACATTTTACCATGGTGATTTTGTTTTATTATAATATATTAGCTATCTGAGACCTAAAACAGGATAAAAATATATGGTAGGCAGGTTAATATCATGCTTCAAAAAGACGCAAAAATTGAATTTTCGGTTATTTCATATTTTTCTAAGGCGATTTCCATTAGCTTGGATAAAAAATGAAGATTGAAACAAACAAAAAAACAATTTACGTACTTTTGAAGCATGATATTTAGCCAATTTAACTCGCCAATAAACAATAATCAGGTGAAATACCCAATTAAAAGTATATATTTTGTTCTATTTTCAAGAAATGAAATAGAAATGCTTTTGCCACCACTTAGTCAATATTCCTGAAAAATTGTCAAATTTGGAGATTCTCCAAATCTGGAGAACCTATAAATATTTTTTTTTGGAACTTTGTCTTTTGGTATGAATAGCAACAACATACTAAAAATATAGCGAGTTTGACGAGGGCTACTATTGGGCTCTGCCTGATTCTTACAGAAAGTTGCTCATAAAACAAGATTTCTATTTTTCTACTGTATAAAAAAGACTAATTATTCCTTAACTTACATAGAAAAACCTATATGTAATAAAAATCCTTATTCGCATAGGCTTTGAGGTTTTTAATAAAGTACGTACACAGGTATGGGGGAGGGAGAGGAAAGGAGGGAGGGTTATACAAAAATGTAAAAACTTGTACATAGGTAAGGGAGATATATGTAAAAAACAGCGGTAAGGGAGATATGTGTAGGTTAGGGGGATATGTGTAAAAAACAGCGAGTATTTACGCGATATGACTTTTCTCGTTTTCCGTCTTTCCTTAAATCTGATTTCCTTTTTTTTTTTTACAAAACCATTGAATTTCACGAGTTTAAATATTATGTTATGTAACACAAATATCGACTTGAAAGTTATTTAGTTTTTATTGTTTTAAAAAATTTCTGCGTTTATAAAATAGAGAGATTTTATAATAACAAACGAACTATTGTTCAATCCTTTGATCAGAATTGGTGTCACTCCTTTGATCAGAATTCTGTTCGAGTGACACCATCCATATCAATCATTTAGTTATTATTATTAAATACTTATAACTAATTTACCCATTATTATATTATTTTATATTATTGTTATATATATATATATATATATATAATATATATATATATATATATATATATATATATATATATATATATATTTATTAATCAATTATTTTTACTTACTACAATGAATAGAATTATGATTTTTATTATTATTATTATATTTATTAATAATATAATATTAATGTATGATTTAAAAAGGAGAATAAATATCTTGTTGTTTTTTGTTTTTTTTTTGATACGTTTTAGCGTTCTTAGAGGTGCTTCTAGATTATGCAAAGAATTCATATTAATTTTAGAATATAGTATTAACTAAATTTTTCGAAACAAAATTTAAAATATACAAATAAATATACAAAGCTATTTACACAGTGTTATATATATATATATATATATATATATATATATATATATATATATATATATATATATATATATATATATATATATATATATATATATATATATATATATATATATATATATGTATATATACATAAATTTTTTTCTTAAAACTTCTTTGTTGAAAAGGAATGATAATGGAAACAAAATTTATCAAATTTGGCACCAAAACATAGAGAAGTCGACTATATCCATTATTTAAAAACTGGACTCATGTGTCACCAGTCATTATGGAAATGAATTCAGCTTCGTTTACTAAAAAGAACCAAGTATTAAAATATATATCTATCTATATATATATGTATATATATATGTATATATATATGTATTTATATATATGTATATATATATATATATATATGTATATATATATGTATACATATATGTATATATATATGTATATATTTATCTATATATATATCTATATATAAATATATATATATATATATATATATATATATATATACATATATATATATATATATATATATATATATATATATATATATCTATCTATCTATCTATCTATCTATCTATCTATCTATCTATATATATATATATATATATATATATATATATATATATATATATATATATATATATATATATATATATATATATATATATATATATATATTTATATTTATATATTTATATTGAAATTTAATTCTTTTTCTAAAATAAATACAATTTCGAATTTTTATTTTTAAAAAGTAGAAGAAATCATAGGGAGAAAGTTTTTTTTCGTAAAAAGCGAAGGAATAAATAATCCTTTGCTAGCAATAGTGATCGACCGGCACTGAAATTTTGCCGGAACCGGAACCGAACCGAAAATAAATAATAGTTGAAAATAAATGCAAGTTTATTCCAATTAAAACACAAAGTTAAATTAATAAAAAATGATTAATAACAGAATCCAACAACTGCAAGATTTTCTCGACAAAAAAGGAGTTTTTCCGAATTTTCTGGAAGGAGTCTGTTTCTTTCGTTAGATAGAATATCTCCAGCCGTAGAAAACAATCTTTCAACATGTGGAATTTGGGGGTGGTGTGAGGTACTTTTTTGCCACCTTAGTCAATGCTAACTTGATTTTGCTAGTCGCATTTTTTTTATAGTTTTTCCAAAATTCTAGGCAATGAGAAGCCATTGGACAATCCAAAAAATCCTTCAACACTTCCCTCGTCATTTTGAAAGATGAATGTTCATTTGGTCCTGTTTAAGACTGTGCAATAATTTTTGACATTATGTGCGAGAAAGCCGTATTTTTTTCATTGTCACCAGATGGAATTTGAGTAACAGGAGCCAATTCATCTTCAAGAGGTTCAAAGTTCTCAATTTGGGACATGACAATGTAATTGGCATTTTGCAAAGCAACTTGAGATCGGAAAAAATACCATTTTTATTTTGGATTAAGTAAAGTAGCAACTGAATGTTCTGTTTTTTCAATTGCTGAAAAACGTTTTTCCATTGCATTTTTCATAGCTGTTTTCAATTTCTGAACACTGATGTCGCCGGTGGTTGTTTCCAAAGCATTAATCATTGTTGTCACAATTGGAATGCAGGAACTGATACAAGAATCACTACCTGATAACATTTTTGTTGCCTCCTCAAAAACACTTAAAATCCTCACCACATTTTCATAGAGGCTCTAATCTTGGACGGAAAATTCAATTTTCATTGAAGGAAATTTGAGTAAGGTTACAGCAAGCATGTAATAGGTAGAGTTCCATCTTGTGGCAACATCGTTTTTTAAGTTTCCGACTCTTTTCAATCAGTTGATTGATGGTAGGATCTGAAAATAGTTCTTTTTTTATCACAAGTTGAAGGGAGTGGTTTAGGCATCCAGCTGACTTATAATTACAGCTTGGCTCATCGAAGGCTACTTTTACATTTGCTGCATTGTCTCTTAAGCAAACTCCAATTTTTAAAGAAATTTCCCACTCCTCTGCTGCTGCTTTGATCTCTTTGAAAATGTTTTTTGCAGTATGACTTTCATCAAATGATGAACAAGAGATGCAGAATTTGACACGGTTCCAGTCTTTGGAAATAAATTGAACAGTCATTCCCAGATAGCCATGATGAAATGATGACCATGCATCAAGGCAGACTTTTTTTCAGCTTCTGATTGAACCAGCTTTTCCTTGAGAGCAACTTTAATTTTTTTATAAGTCAGATCCAATAAACTTCTGTAGTATTTTTCGCTAGCAATCTCGTAATTTGGAGCAATAAAAGCATGGTGCCTCAAAAACCCAGCATCATTGACAATAGACCATGGTTGGAGGTCAAGAATCATCATTTCAAAAATTGACTTGTGAAATTTTTGGCCTTTTTTAGAATTAGAGTCAATTTTTGAAGAAGCTTGAACCCAGTTTGGAATTGTAGATTGTAACATAACGGTTCTTTGTTTTTTTGATCGTATGTTGAAGATTGTAACTGTCTTTCTTTTGTTGGAATTTAAGTCAGCTTTTTCATTTGCCTTTAGATTTTCTGATTTTTCGGGCGTAAGTTTAATGTCAGAATGATGATTTTTCAGGTATGACGTGAGTCCACTTAATTTTTGTTTTTTTGGGTCGTCAGATCCTCTTAAAACTTTGCTGTTGCAGATTTTGCACTGAACCATTCTTGGATTGTTTGCTTCAATTATGAAGTATTTCTACACTAAACTTGTTTTTCGGTTTGAATTCATTTTATTAGAATAAATCGAAGAACTTAATCAGATGAGTTTTTTAATGTTGCTAGTTTGAGTCAAGAACAAGGATTAAAAATATAATTAACAAGTTCTTTGTTAATTATATTAATTATTAATTATATTAATTTGTATTAATATTGTTGTTAACTTAACAAAATATATATATATATAAATATTTTTAAGAAAAATTTCTTACGATACATTAAAAAGTTCAATACATTAAAAAGTTCGTTAAAAAGACAATTAACAATTTAAACGAGAAAACATTAAAAGTTACAATGACAAGAAAACATTATTGTTTTAATGTTTTAACGACGAGAAAACATTAAAACATCTTGCTTTAAAAAAACGAATGTAACAATAGGCTGTGTCGATTTTTTTTTTTTTTCAAATATCAAAAAAGTAGTGAAAAAAAGTAACTTCATGGTTATTTAAATACAGGAAAAATTTTTTAAAAAAAATTTTTAAGTGCAAGCTTGGTAAATTTTTATATGAATTTTGGCACTTTTGGTCGTTTTTAACGTTTATCTTTTTTTTTTTTAATGAAATTGCACTGATAATTGTTTTTGTATCTGTTATCATGATGTATGATGTTCTCAGTAAACGATAGTAAGTAAATATTGAATATTTAAAAATATATATTTATGTTTATTAAGCGCTGGTGTCACCTAATAGGCATTTTTACAAGGTAATGCCGTGGCTAGAGGGTTGGAGCCCCCCTCCCCCAAACTGGTCGTAAGGGCTTCAAGTTCTAAAAAATCTTTCACACTCGAGCATTACTTAAAAAAAGAAAAAAAAAGATCCTTTAATTTGAAAAAGGTCCCTAAAATTGCTAGCCACCCCCCCTTCATTTAGGGTTTAGGTAGTCTTGTCAACCCAATTTTCTTTATTGTTATTGTAATATGCCCGCGAAAAAGATTATATAATGAGGTGGCATCTATAAAGTATGTACGCAGTAGAATTCCTGAAGCCTTCATCATTTTTGTATGTATCAGTTACTTATAAAAAAAACTTCCTTCTGTCAACAATGCAAACTATTAAAAGTATTAAGTATACAAGTTTTTAACGAACACATCGTTTTTTAACGGCTTTAGCTACTCCACTTGCATTTATATAAGGGTTGTCATATCCTTTTTGCTTCTATTTCTTGACATTAAATGTCTACTTGCAAGCTGAGCACATATATAAGATTCTCTTCTCTCGTGTGTTTAAACATGGCCTGCAGCTTCAGTTACCAATTTGACGCATCTTTCAACAGACTGTGTATGAGAAGTCCAAGGAGGAACTTCCATAGGGTAGTTTAAAAACTCTTTGATTGTGGCAGAGGTAAGATTGCAGGTAAGTGGTGGCTCAGTTACATTCAAGTTCCATGTTATGAGGTTAGCTAGCTGATCAGATTGAGGATTTATTTCAGGTGTTTTTCTTACTCTGATACTACTATCTCCAACTTGAGTTACCTCATCTCCTTCTCCTCGAATCTTAAGAATCCTAGTTATAGCTTCTTTTCTTTCTTCTGTATTTTTGCTGCAAAGCATGGCTTGTAAAATTGCTTCAGAATGTGCATACCACGCTGATCGCCTAATTGTTGGCATAACAATATCTAAAACATTTTTACTTTGAGTTCTAAGTAGCTCTAGTTGATATAAAACATGACTGGGACCCTCTATCCAATTTGATTTCACTTTAATGTTAAACCAATTGGGTATGTAAACACTAACAATAAAATTTACAATCAATTGTAAATTTTCTAGATTTTCACCAGTAAGCCCATGATTTGACACCCAAATTCTGCAAAATCGAAGGGCTGTTGTTAGCCATCTGCTGTGGCAGACTGGTCCAATTTCCAGCATTGCTAACCTGTTAGGTAGAACTCCAGTCTTTATTGCTTGGCAAATTTGATAGGCATAACTTTGATCAGTGCTTAAATCCTTAATAATCTCCTGACTGAAATATATTAAAGGAGGACCTAAATTTATTTTAGTAAAGTTTGAATTAATTTCAATTTCAGTTGCTGTGTCAAGCATTTTCCTAAGTGGTCCAGACCATTTATTATAAGAAAGTGTTTTACCATCAAAATTTTCAATTAAATGCCATAACCCTAACTCACCAGTGTGTAAATCACAAACAATCCAAACTAATCTTCTATTTAATTTTTTCTCTACCCATTGCATGACACCACCTGCCCAACCAGTATTAACATTTGTGCTATCTCCTCCAATAGCCATGAGATTTTGAATTTGATTTTTAGTTTTTAACCAGTCAACCAAGTAATCTGCAATAACTTCTGCTTTTTTTTTATTAGCTGTCACATCTGGAACAAAATGGAAAAGATAGTCACCCCCTGGGTCTTTTACAACAGAGTAATGTTCCTCTTTAATAAGGCTAGGAAAATTTCTTTCATTTGCCTCTATAAACATTTTTGTAGCATCTACTCTTCCATCAAAAAAAAGGCAAGTAACCGGGTTATTTTCTAGGTCTATCTCAAACTGGTTGTTTAATTCTTTTGCTAATTTTTCTTGAGCCCTTTTGATTTTGTTATGATCTATAATAAGATGTAAATCACTCT